GTTGTTGTTGTTGTTGTTGTTGTTGTTGTTGTTGTTGTTGTTGTTGTTGGTGTTGGTGTTGTTGTTGTTGTTGTGGTTGTTGTTGTTGTTGTTGTTGTTGTTGTTGTTGTTGGTGTTGTTGTTTAGTGGTGTTGTTGTTTAGTGGTGTTGTTGTTGTTGCTGTTGTTAGTGTTGTTGTTTAGTGGTGTTGTTGTTGTTGCTGTTGTTAGTGTTGTTGTTGTTACCGTTAGTGTTGTTAGTGTTGCTAGTGTTAGTGTTGTTAGTGTTGTTAGTGTTGTTAGTGTTGTTAGTGTTGTTAGTGTTGTTAGTGTTGTTAGTGTTGTGTTAGTGTTGTGTTAGTGTTGTTGTTGTTGTTGTTGCTGGTGGTGGTGGTGGTGTTGGTGTTGTTGCTGGCGGTTGTGTTTGTGTTGCAGCGTGCCCATCTGCTTCGAACCAAGAGAAGATGTTGCTCCACACCTCATGGAAAAGCAAAAAAGCAAAGAAAAGCAAAAAAGCAAAAAAGCAAAGAAAAGCAAGAAAAACAAAAAAGCAAAGAAAAGCAGAAAAGTGAGAAAAGCAGAAAAGCAAGGAAAGCAAAAAAGCAAAAAAGCAAAGAAAAGCAAGAAAAGCAAGAAAAATAAAAAAGCAAAGAGAAGCAAGAAAAGCAAAAAAACAAAAAAGCAAAAAAGCAAAGAAAAGCAAGGGAAGCAAAAAAGCAAAAAAGCAAAGAAAAGCAAGAAAAGCAAAAAAAGGAATAGAAGCAAAGAAGCAGAGAAGCACTGCAGGAGGCAATAGAGTAAGCAGAAAGAAATCCAAAAAAAATTCCCTAAACTAAAAAAAAAAAACCTAAATAAATGGCCCTCCTTTTGGAAAAGCCAAGTCGTCCATTGTAATTTCATCCGTTAGGATATGTGATGCCTGAACCTGCATGCTTGGTGATTTTTTTAATTTCTGGGAGTGTCAAATCCCTGCAAATTCACCAACATTCCAACCATCAGTGGAGACATGAATCCAACCTATGTGAAAGGTCCTCTCATGCTGCAGCAAGGGAGGCTCAGGGAGCCATAGTGGCGGGTGTGGGCTTGAGCCATACCTGAGGTATCTTCGAGCGTGGATCGCTTGGACGTGGTGCAATCTTGCAGGTGAAAAACAAGAGATAGCTGCTGTGCAGCTGGGCAAGTGTCGGTGACACCTTGGTGGAAGTGTGGAAGGGTCCGTTACCAGTTCTAAAATGTACATATACACTATATACACATATATATATATACAGATGCATATATATCTATGTACATTGTAGATTCATCGTAGATACATTGTAGATACAGAGACATAGATATGTGGACATCTTCTCAATTTACAGACACACTGATATTTAGATCTATCTATATATATATATAGAGAGAGAGAGAGATTCGATGTACCTGAATAGATATGGCTGCAAAATTCGACCCACCTCAGTGGCGAAGCTTCACCACACCTCGGCCCAATCCTGATCGCTCAGGAAGTCTCCCGGCTTTCTGCAGCAAGGGGCTGATGTGGCTGGCTTTGGGGTGCGATGAGTGTTTCCCATGTATACAATATACCTAACATAACATAACATAATATTACATTGCCTTACCTCACCTTACCTTACATGAAATTACATAATGTTGTATCCTGATTAGTAGCTAGGTTCGCTATTGTGCCAATTTTTCCAAATTATTCTGAACCCATGCAATGTTTGGCAGGTTCGCTATTGTGGCAAGAAATCTTGGGAAACCATGTTTTTTGAAAAAACATGGTTGAAACAAAAAAAAACTTGACATTTGTTCTGCAAAAAATCGTGCTTGTCTGCTGTTCCCAAAAGAATCAGACCGCTTATTAAACCCTGAATAAAGAACAGTTTTTCCACGAATTTCCAAGGCACTGGGCCATGAGAGGGTCCAGTTCACTTTAGTAGGTTTGTTCTCAGGGTTCACAATTGCAGCAAAATTTTCAAGAGCTGATCCTGAGCCTTTTACAAGAGCGATTACCAAGTTCAAAGTCCAAACCGGTCCCAAAAGAATCAGACCGCTTATTAAACCCTTATTAAAGAACAGTTTTTCCACAAATTTCCAAGGCACTGGGCCATGAGAGGGTCCAGTTCACTTTAGTAGGTTTCTCAGGGTTCACAATTGCAGCAAAATTGTCCAGAGCTATCCTGGGCCTTTTACAAGAGCAATTGCCAAGTTCAAAGCCCAAGCCTTTCCCAAAAGAATCAGACCGCTTATTAAACCCTGAATAAAGAACAGTTTTTCCACAAATTTCCAAGGCACTGGGCCATGAGAGGGTCCAGTTCACTTTAGTAGGTTTCTCAGGGTTCACAATTGCAGCAAAATTTTCAAGAGCTGATCCTGGGCCTTTTACAAGAGCAATTGCCAAATTCAAAACCCAAACCTTTCCCAAAAGAATCAGACCGCTTATTAAACCCTTATTAAAGAACAGTTTTTCCACAAATTTCCAAGGCACTGGGCCATGAGAGGGTCCAGTTCACTTTAGTAGGTGTGTTCTCAGGGTTCACAATTGCAGCAAACTTTTCCAGAGCTGATCCTGGAGCCAAGAGAAGAAAGAAAAGCCTTTTACAAAAGCAACCTTTTCTTTCTCTTTCTCTTTCTCGTTGTCTGTTGCTTTCTCTATTCTCTTCCTCTTTCTCTTCCTCTTCCTCTCTCTCTCTCTCTGTTCCTCTTCCTCTCTCTCTGTTCCTCTTCCTCTCTCTCTCTGTTCCTCCTCTTCCTCTTATTCTTCCTCTTCCTCTTCCTTTTATTCTTCCTCTTCCTCTTCCTCCTCCTCCTCCTCTTCCTCTTCCTCTTTCTCTTACTCTTTCTCTCTCTCTCTCTATTTCTCTCTCTTTCTCTTTCTCTGGTTCCCTTTTTCTTTTTCTTTCTCTTTCTCGTTCTCTTATTACATGTTTCATTAAGAAAAAGCTTAAGGTGGAAAAGGTAACGCAATCAACATGCTGAACCCCACTCACTACAAGTACTATAAGTACTACAAGTGCTACAAATACCACAAGTTCATCGGCAAACAAAAGTTTTAATTAGATTTCAATTGTAGCCAGTTGAAATCCTTACTGAAGTGTAGATTTTTTGCCCTGAGGAACCCTTTTTTTGCGCCCAACTTTAAAGAGGGTATAGGTATTGTTGAGGGGAGGGGGGGGGCCTGACACTAATCCGGACGAAGCATTACACATATATATATATATACATTTACAATTACACACAGATACACTCGTACATAATACATAAATAAATATATGATCTGCTTATTATTCTATAGAGAGGAAATCTTTGAAATTGAAACGAAGCAGAAACGACAATTGCCGTTGATTTAGATACATTTTTTCGGATAATTCTATCTATCTATCTATTTATATATATATATATCTATACCATCTCTATATACCAGCCGACTTCGTGGCGTTTTTGGGGAAAAATCATCCCCTTTTGCTGCGTCCTTTCGTGCGTTCATTGCGTGCTCGCGCGTGTCGTTTCGACCCTCGGCCATTGCTATTTTCACACGGCGAGGTGACCATCTCGGTCTCAGGTCGTCGCCACAGGGCTGGGTCAAATTTTGAGGCCGGACCACAGATTGAAATGTAGATGTTTAGAATGATCATATATATATATATTATATATATATAATGATATAGATATTGGGGTACCCAATTTTGACCTACAGCGGTCTTCAAAAGGAACATCATTTTGTTCCAAACTGTTCAAAGGCTTTTCCAAACTGTTGAAAGGCTGTGATTTTGGAGGTTTCATGGAAGTTGCATGGAAGTTCTTTTATATCTATATACAGTGGCACCGGGCTAGGCATTTGAGATTCTATCACTTCATTCCAAGAAATAGTTACCCCGGTATGAAAATCATGAAAACAGTGATGGAATGAAAATCATGAAATTCATGTTCATTTATTTTCATTGGGTCTATCACTTATTCTTAACATAAAAATATTTACACCCCATAATCATCGACAATGGGCCATCAAATCTAGGGGGTCTTGGCGGATTCACTAGCGCCAATGATGGAACCTCTCCCCAATTTGGCAAAGCCGAAACCCTAAACCATCCCCAATATCAATATTGTCATAGATACATATATCATAGATTATATATATACATATACATACACGTGGTATATAATATCATCCCCAAATGGTGGGTTTATTGTTAGGTTTCCCTCATGTCTAAGAATCTTGCCCTTTCACAGCCAATGGGCATGGTCCCCATGATTGCAATAGCCGGTGTAATTCAAGATTCCAAGCTGCAAATGATTTGGGTATAGGCCGGTATCCCTGACGAACATGAAAATAGCTGGTAAATGGATGCGCACCCCCTAAAATATGGCAATTTCTAGATTTTAATCCAATCTCAATTTCCTAGGAAGAGTGACCTGCTGAAAAAAGGTGTGTTGATTGACACACGACCTGATTCGTGCGACCGACGATCTCGCAGTGGCCCGCAAGTTCTTGGTTTTGTGTTTGACACGCAAACATCATCACAACAGGTTCACAGCCATGGTCGGGGTGGGCTGCATAACTCAAGTCTTGAAACCTTGAAATTTCACATGGGACTCTTTTTCAGATAGATCTTGAAGATAGTTGATGATAGTTGGCTAACACAGCCATTGGGCCATTGGGGGATGGATTACCCCATCCAAAACCACGAAACTTGGGGGTATGAACATCCATTTACCATCACCATCACCAGAAATTGTGGTGTGAAAACAGGGTACACACATCGAGAACCAGCGTGCTCGCTGAGACGTTCACACAGTTTCCGCTCCGGTTGGTTGGCTCAGCCATCTGAAAACCAGCTCTATCTGGATGGCCCCAGTTGTGTCTACGGTTTATGTTACCCGAACTACGTAGCTGTAATTCGATGAATCACCATAAATCCAACACTAAAAAAGATTTAAAAAAAAAAGTATGTCTAAATCAACAGAAAGCATCAGAAAGCATCCGAACTCGGTTGGACAGCCCCTTCTATTCACAGCTTCAGTGTCGTTTTCAGTATCAGGTCAGCAGCCAAACAACCGGATCCACAGCGAGGCTAGCACCCACCGCAGCCAGAGAAAAAGCAGCATCGGCGGCGGCGCACGACCTTGAATAGAAAAAAATGGGGCTAAAACCACTGGATTTCTGGGGGTCCTTATTTCCAGACCCACATGAACACGAACTTGATCGACCCATTTTTTCCAAGACCTGGGGCATACCAAAAACTCATTCGGAAATGATCTATGATGGATTTCCATAGCTATGTTATATATGTTTGTTATAGTTTACTGTTTACTGGAGGTTAAATTCAACCCAATGGTTTCATTAATTATTGGAAGGTACGCATATACAACCCAAGAGAATGATGCCAATATAAAGGTAGAAACGGGGAAATCTACTGGACAACGATAGAATCACCCTTCTTATGCTAATATACAAATAAAAAACAGGTGATATATATATATAGACATATATGTACATATACATGTACATATACATGTTTATGTATATGTATATGTATACATAAGTACATTCATATCTTATACACTAAGAGTTGATGATCGAAAAAATATGCTGCAGTTGATATTCTAATATGTATATGTATATTTACATACGCATGAAATATTATGTATCTTTATTATTATGTTTATTTCTGTATCTATCCAAATGGGTTGATTATCCAATGATCCCAAGTTGATATCCCAACCATATTTGCTATCAACATAGATCCAAAAATCATTGTTTAAAAAATAACTCGCTGTTTTCTCAAATGAAGGTCAACATCCTTATCAACAATAGAGTATTTCAACGACAATAGGATCCAAATGGACCAACATTGTTGATAAACAGGTCCGTAGTTTTCAATAGCTTAAATCGTCCAATTTTCCAATAAATATCAATAATATCACTGATTCACATCCTTATATTACAGTTTCAATGTTATTCCTTTTTTATCTGGATAAGTTCCTTAAATATCCCAAATATATCATAGGCTTACCTGCCAAAGATCAAAAAAACATCCGTCTGCCTCAACTTCCTCGAGCTTTGATCGGTGGTGCGACTCCAAGGCCTCGGGGATTTCACCAACCCTGGGATAAAAAAACATCAGTAAATGAAGAGTTATGGGACTTAAGGAATGAAAACTCAAGAAAACTCAAGAGAAGTTGGAGTTTCAGCGCTGTAAACATTATGGAATTTTCCAACCAAAAAAAAAAGTGGTGCATCCAACAATATGTCTGAATTTGTTCTTTTTGAGGGGTGGGGGGTCGCCTGCAAACGGTGCCTGGATGGTCCCAGACGCTGGATTGTTGAAGGGACGTCACTTGACACTATCCACAAGCCATCCATGCCCCAGCGTCGCCTCCAAATCGGCGTTGCTGAGGGAGTCCTGCCATCGCCCATATCAAGGTCAGTTGGTTGTCCAGGGGAGTAGCCTTTTTGATATGAGGTACGGATGGAAAAAGGAAAAAATGTGAAAACACCAGCGTGAAACCACGGCTTCCCGCACCTCCAGATAGGGTGAAATACTGATTGAATCTGAGATCAAGAATTGGCCTCAACAAAATTAGGATAAAATACCGATGAAAAGGAGTCCTGAGAAGCCTGACTAGCAACTCGGAGCAGAACCGTAATGTTCTTATTATTGCGTTTTTGGTCAACCCATAATTTTTGGCGCCTGATTTTGACTCATACCCATATATAATTGGGTGACTGTGTTCATCTTGCAGGACCACATATAATACCTATGAGAACCAAAATATGTTGAAATAATATTCTACACCAAATATTATATATATATAATGATATACCATATATATATTATGTATATGTATCTTATGATAAAACATATGTAATTATGTGCAAATATATATATATATACTATATCAGTATATATTATATCAAATCATATATATCAAATCATATACCAGGAGTGCCGCACAAGGCGGTGGCGGAAGTTTCTAAAATAGGAAACCTATAGGAAGGGTTGGTTGTTGTGACTCACAGATGGCAGAGCGAATCCACTGATGGACCGAAAGGTGGTTGGAGTTGTGCTTTTTGGAGTGGTTGCAATGGTTGCAGCGGTCACCTCACTCACAACTCCTGGATGTAGTGTGGTGTAGCACAGTAGCAGTAGTTGTAGTTGTAGTTGTGGTTGTAGTTCGTAGTTGTAGTGCTGTTGATGTGGTTGAAGTTGTAAATGTTGTAGTTGTAGTTGTAGTCGTAGTTGTAGTGTAGTTGGAGTTGTAATTTTCTTAATTGTAGTAGTTGTAGTAATGGTGTAGCGCAGTAGTTGTAGTTGTAGGTGTAGTTGTCGTTGTAGTATAGTGGAGTTGTAGTTGTAAGTTGTAGTTGTAAGTTGTAGTTGTAATGTAGTGTAATTAGTGTAGTGTAGTTGCAGTTGTAGTTGTGGTGTGGTGTAGTTAGTGTAGTGTATTGTAGTGTACTGTAGTGTTGTGTACTGTAGCGTGGTAAAGTGTAGTGTGGTCTAGTGTATTGTAGTGTAAAATAGTGTAGTTGTAGTTGTAGTGCCGTGTCGTGTAGTGCAATGTAGTGGTAGTTGCAGTTGTAGTGTAATGTAATGTAATTAGTGTAGTGTAGTGTTGTGTAGTGTTGTGTAGTGTAGTGTAGTTCTAATTGTAGTTGTATTTGTAGCTTTAATGTACTGCAGTTTAATTAGTGTGTTGTAGTGTGATGTAGTGTAGCTGTAATTGTAGTTTTAGCTGTGTTGGGGGTGGTGGTGGTGGTGGTCGTCGTAGTAGTTACCTTGTAGCTGACGTCGTCCAATACGGCCCCGGGGAATTCATGCATTTTTGTACGATGCACGTGATCATGGGGTTGGGTCTGGGGTGGGGCTGCAATGACGTTGTGATGTGATGTAAGACATGTTGTGATGTTACGCCACAGATGGGGTTGGGTCTGGGGTGGGGCTGCAATGACGTTGTGATGTGATGTAAGACATGTTGTGATGTTACGCCAGAGATGGGGTTGGGTCTGGGGTGGGGCTGCAATGACGTTGTGATGTGATGTAAGACATGTTGTGATGTTACGCCAGAGATGGGGTTGGGTCTGGGGTGGGGCTGCAATGACGTTGTGATGTGATGTAAGACATGTTGTGATGTTACGCCACAGATGGGGTTGGGTCTGGGGTGGGGCTGCAATGACGTTGTGATGTGATGTAAGACATGTTGTGATGTTACGCCAGAGATGGGGTTGGGTCTGGGGTGGGGCTGCAATGACGTTGTGATGTGATGTAAGACATGTTGTGATGTTACGCCAGAGATGGGGTTGGGTCTGGGGTGGGGCTGCAATGACGTTGTGATGTGATGTAAGACATGTTGTGATGTTACGCCAGAGATGGGGTTGGGTCTGGGGTGGGGCTGCAATGACGTTGTGATGTGATGTAAGACATGTTGTGATGTTACGCCACAGATGGGGTTGGGTCTGGGGTGGGGCTGCAATGACGTTGTGATGTGATGTAAGACATGTTGTGATGTTACGCCACAGATGGGGTTGGGTCTGGGGTGGGGCTGCAATGACGTTGTGATGTGATGTAAGACATGTTGTGATGTTACGCCAGAGATGGGGTTGGGTCTGGGGTGGGGCTGCAATGACGTTGTGATGTGATGTAAGACATGTTGTGATGTTATGTAAGACATGTTGTGATGTTCTGGGGGGTGGGGCTGCAATGACCAGATGTTGGGGTTGGGTCTGGGGTGGGGCTGCAATGACGTTTTGATGTGATGTAAGACATGTTTGATGTTACGCCAGAGATGGGGTTGGGTCTGGGGTGGGGCTGCAATGACGTTGTGATGTGATGTAAGACATGTTGTGATGTTACGCCAGAGATGGGGTTGGGTCTGGGGTGGGCTGGGTTGTGATGGATGTCTGGGGTGGGGCTGCAATGACGTTGTGATGTGATGTAAAACATTTATGTAGATGTTGTGATGTTACGCCAGAGATGGGGTTGGGTCTGGGGTGGGGCTGCAATGACGTTGTGATGTGATGTAAGACATGTTGTGATGTTACGCCACAGATGGGGTTGGGTCTGGGGTGGGGCTGTCAGAGATGTGCTTTCCTCGAGGTCTAGATATTTCTGATTGTCTGGAATTTATGAATATGTTAGATATATATGTATATGCATGTGTGTGTTTGTCAAGTCACATATATATATAGATATAAATATATTTATATATACATTTATATATGTATATAAGAATCTGTGTACATGTCCAAGTATGCAAGGTATGGTCTATCATGTATGCAACACGATCCTAACATAGTCCTGGTTTCCATGCGTTTTTTTTCGCCGTTTTGCACATGGACGTGTAAAACCCATTGTGAATAGCACAAAATGGACACAAAGTGCTGTAAAACGCAAGGCATTTGAACATGGCGCAAAATCCATGGTGAGAGAAAGTGCCATAGGGGTTGTCGAAATAGCAAGATGTTTGTTGTCAAAACAAGCAAAATCAGCGGGACCGCAACGGACGACGTTACCTAGTTGTAGTAGTCGTAGTCGTAGTCGTAGTGGTAGTAGTAGTGGTGGTAGTAGTAGCAGTAGTTGTAGTAGTTGTAGTAGTTGTAGTAGTTGTAGTAGTTGTAGTAGTTGTAGTAGTTGTAGTAGTTGTAGTAGTTGTAGCAGTAGTAGTAGTAGTGGCTGTTGTAGTAGTGGCTGTTGTAGTAGTTGTAGTGTAATTAGTGTACTGTAGTGTAATTATGTAATTAGTGTAGTGTAGTGTAATTTGTGTTGTGTAATGTAGCGTAGTATATTTGTACTTGTAGTTGTAGTAGTGTAGTGTAGTGTAGTGGTACTTGTAGTTGTAGTTGCAGTTGTAGTTGTCTATCTGTCTATCTGTCTATCTGCAAGCTTGAAAACGAAGCTATTCTGCGAGACTTCCTCAGTTTTTGAACTTGACAACATCAAAAACGGAGCAATTCTGCGAGACGTCCCTAATTTTTGAACTTGACAATGTCACAAACGAAACAATTCTGCGAGTTTCGCAGTTGACAACATCAAAAACGAAGCAATTCTGCGAGACTTCCTTCCAAAATGGAAAGTTGAGTGCAGAGCTGACGGCCTCGTACCAATGCGTTTTGCGATTTTTCCACTCCACCTGTCTAAAGTATTGCGCCTGCCACGAAAAAGTGAGGCCAGGTCATACAAAGTGCTGCACCTGTCACGCAAAATCATCTTCCCAAAACTGAAGATTTGATGCTCCAAAATGCAACCCCTCTCAGGAAATCAGCGCCCGGACCTCCTAACATCTCTGATAAACTGATAAACATGTCTCTTGTACGGCGCCTGCCACAGAAATTGCATCTTTGCAGATCCTCTTCAAAATGTCCCACGCCTGCCATCGTTTTTGGAAATGCCATAAAAACCCTCACGTTTTGCTGACTGACATCCGAACGTCCAAAAGCGACGCGAACATGTGGTGCTTTTAACATTTTGACTTCGAAATGTGCATCTCGCCACAACGGCGTGCACTTTTTCGACATCTCAACCTCCAAAAGTGGTCTGAACCCGTCAGTTTTTTTTAAACACTTTTGACTTCGACATGTGCTTCGCGCCACAACGGCGTGCACTTTGTCGACATCACAACTTCGAAAAGTGCTCCGAACGTGAGGTGTTTTTAGCTTTTTCACTTGCAAATGTGCTTCGCGCCACAACTGCGTGCACTTTTTCGACATCGCAACTTCGAAAAGTGTTCCGAACGTGGGGTATTTTTAGCTTTTCACTTGCAAATGTTCTTCGCGCCACAACGGCGTGCAACTTTCCACCTCTCATCTGGCCAGATGGCTCTGCACCCGCCGCTTTAGCGAGCCTACTTTTCGACCCTCCGGAGCCACAAATCATTGGAAAAACACAGTGTTTCGCGACTTTCCTTCTTTTTTCTTCTGGGACTTTCTCTTTTTTGATCTTCTTTCTTCTTCTCTTCTCTACTCTGACTCTTCCCATCTCTGCTTTTCATCTGTCCATATTGTCGGAAGTTTGACTTCTAAACTTCCTTCGATTATATTGTATTATTTGTATGTTATATATATTATATTAATATTATTTGTATGTTCTATTATAGATTTATATATATATATCATTCTCTAAACGGTTACACTCCAACAAGATGGGAATGGTGAAGCAGTTTTGCCCATCCGGAGACAGAGTCTAGTACGGGTCACAGTGTTGAGAAGTCTGGGGCTACATCCCTATGGCGATGGCACCTGGAAATTTGACAAATTCTGATACCTTCCCATTGAATTCCTTGATTTTTTGTGTGTGTTTCTATTAGTTTCTATAACTTCTATCTGACGATTGGGAAAAAACCATCCATTTTTGGTCTTCGTAGCGGAATGCTTCTTGGTTGCATCCTTCAAAGCTTTGCTGAAAAAGGGCCATTGATATCACCATGCTGCTCAACTCCTCATGGTTCTGATTTCTACTGCATCACTTGGTGTATATGTGTGTACATCGCCGCTGCCATTGGTTCAATCACACCTTCTGGTGAAACCACATGATTTGGATCATACAATTCTGGTGCGGCTTCTTGCAAATTGATATGGCTTTTACGGGGTTATCGGTCGTGTCCGATGTTGGATTTAAGCAAACAAAAACTTGAGGTTCAGAGATAGGTACGGAACATCTGGAAACACGATAGAGATATTCAGCATCCGAAACAGTGGCGGGGGGCATATTTATTTCGTTTTGTGCTGCTGTTCGATGTTTCATCTGTCTTGGCTTGGTCAGAGTGTGGAAAGCATCTCACAGACACTTTCCTCTTGCACCGTGTGGAAGTTACATGAAGTTACAGCGTGAAAAGATGTGAAAAAGCATCTCAGGATTACTCAATGTGGTTTTCACATCGTCGCAGCCGCGTTCTATGTGGAATTTCTCACATTTCCCGGTGAAATCGCCATGTTGTGGGCCATCTCTACAGTTTTTTGCAAAGATCCAATTTCTCTTCTTGTAGAAATGCAAGTCTTCTGTGTGAAATCATCATTTGCCTTGGTTTTCCGGAGTTTTCTGGTCCCTTGTCACCACTTCTTGTCCCTAAATGACCAGATATCTGTTGTCCCCTCTCCGGTTGAATCCCAGTGCTTGATGAAATGGTCATGTTGGGTTTACTTCGATCAAACTCATTCGAGGTGATCTCAACCAACTCCTAGATATAAGCGCCTTGTCAACCAACAGTCTATAGATCATGATATATATATATATATGTGATAACGCAATAGTATAACTATAGATGTTATAATGTTTACCTATAATGTTATATATAACTGTCTAGTTATTATATAACTTATACTTCAACGGACACAAAACCGAACCGTCCCCTGCCTTGGTACTCTCGTCGGACACAAATGCCTCTGGCTGAGGATCCTGGCGGAACAGAGCGGTCGAGGGGTTGGTTTTTTTAGATGTATGTGTGCATATATATATATATATACGTATGTATACATATATACTTATATATAGAGAGAGATATTAATATGTATATATATATATGTGTACTGTATACATAATGTGTATATATATAATATGCATGTATGTGTATAATGTGATGTATCTAGAGGTGGTACAAGAATTTGGGATCAAATCATCCCAAGTTGATATCCTACCCTCAATCAAACATGCTGGAAAATTCCCCCATCTTCGATAAAATTCCCAGCTGTAAACCTTCATTTTTCTCAGTGATTTCCCGGTGTTTGATTCTCCGAGGGTAGCAATCAAAGTTGGGACCCAAAACGGTAAGCATCTATGTATTTTCTCATGGAAGCCAAAAAATTGGGATGTACCCACCAAACACGTGGACATAAAACGGGGTTTAACCTGCAAAACTAGGATTCAGACTTAAGCAAATAATATGGATCGGTCAACAAAATGGAGATTTAACAAACAGAAATCTTGATATTGACTTAAAGAGTAACAAAGAAAACAATGAGAAAAATCTTTATGAAGATATATTTCCAGAAAAAAAAAAGGTCCTTCCATGCCATTCCCTTGGAAAAACCTCAGTTCACCTGCTATCGTTCAATATGGCAACTTGCCTCTTCGATCGTCAAATTCGTCTCGTTGACCTTCTCGTTAGAGCCTGGGTCTGAAAATTGGCCAAATGATGGGGATTTAAAATTGCCAAAAGTGGGGATTTAACATAGTTTATATATGATAATATGGGGAATATCCTGGAATATATCACAGGGGGATCTATAGATCATATAACCAATGGGGATATCATGAGTACATCACCAAGAATGATGCTTGGTGGATCCAACCAGTTTGAGGAGCGAGACTGCTCTTCTGGGGGGTCATGGTTCACCTAGGACCTAAACAGGATCTTTCGGCGTTTCGGGTGACCTCGGGGAGATGGCATACCATGGCAATCATGGAATGGTTGATACTAAATGGTATTATAAACTACTTAGTGTTTTATCACTAGAATAACTACTACTAGTTGATATTATTTGATACTAAATGGTATTATAACTACTACTTATGGTATAATAAACTACTACTAAATGGTTCTCAGCTTTAACATGTGTTAAAACCATGGTTTCTGAACTGGTGGACACCGGTTCCACCTGGGATGCACCAAACCACCGATCTTCGGCGCCTGCGTCTCTGGACTGACCGTCGTCTACATGCAGCTTGGTTCGTGCGAGCACTTCAGCAGGGACCTGCACGGGAGACGGGGAAAGTACTGGGATGTAACCAACTACCTATAGCAATTGATAAATAAGTTGGGAATTAACTAACTATATTGGGATGTAACATGATGTAACCTTATTAACTAACAACTGTTGGGAAAAGGGTTTTCACCTGCAGGATCAAAGGAGTACAGTACCCCATGTTCAGACAAACTTAGTGTCAGCGAGACCAATCCCATCCCCCTATATATGTTTGCAAAACAAAAAAACTGAGCCCAAAAAATCAACATATCCAATACTAAACTAGGCTTTATAGGGAGCTATGTAATATTCGGGGGAAGGGATTACTACCCGAAACATCCAGCCGCCACTGGTTCGTAGCCAGCTGGGGCCCCGGCAGGCAGGCCACACTTGCGAAAGATGTCTGCGGCGCACTCCGAAAAATCGAGCCTGCAGTAAAAATGCTTCGCCCGGATGTACCCGAAACTAACATAGCTATTGAAAATGGCCCATAGAAATAGTTGATTTCAATAGTTAGTCTACCAAAGGGTGATAGCTGGATGTGAAACATGAGCAATTCCAACCAACATCAAATGAATTTCCCACAGAAATTCTGGAGGGCTGTCGTTGGTATAGAAATGGGGTGTTCAACATTTCATGCCTGTGGATCCCAACGGTGTGCGGGTAGTTCTCACGCATCTACCGTCTTTTTTGGGGCTTTAAAGAGCTACAGTAAAAATACCGTGCTATTTGATTTTCTGGGTGAAACATTGCCAGAAACCTATCATACAACTCTATTTTGTGCACAAAACATATATATATATACACACACACGGATGCACATCCATGCATTCATATCTATATATCTATCTATATCCACCTACCTTTTATGTATCTGTGAATATTTAATCTTGTCTTATTTAATCGTATTACACATATATACAGATATCATATGTATATATACATATATGACCCATATATATAATTATATACATATATATATATATATCCACATATCACATGTGTATATATATATATATTATACATATTATTTATATTGTATATATAGAACATATAGCGCTTTGCCCTGCCGCACCTCCGATTCTCCTCGGGCTTGGCACGCCAGTTCCACAAGCGACCCTTGAAGCCATCGGGCGTCAGCAGCTTGTGCACCCCTGGCGCAGCGCAACGAATCGCCCTGAGACATACTCTGGATGGACAAGCCATCCTGCACCAGTTGGTACCTATTGGGATTCCTATGAAACACTGTAACACTGTAAATAATGGGAGTTTAATGGGATGTCTACGGTTTGCTGTCCAAAGCTGAAGTCCGCACGAGAAAACTCAGCTACTGAAGCGATGATGCAAATTGAGTGACTACCGGGGGGATTTTCAACATCAAGAGGAATACAGTAAACACATCCTGCTTAACCCTCACAGAGGTCGAAACCTGAAAGGAAGAATCGACAAGGAGAAACCAAAGACGAGGAGAGTCGACAGGAGAAAAACTCCCAACAAATGCGTTCAGGCGGCCCAGGCTAAACTGGTCGAGAAGGTAACAATATAGCGATAACGCTGAACAGAAATAATATCTACCAGTACCAAGAAAGTTCGGACCAACTGATTTCGAGAAGTGTTTTGGAAGTTCGCTCCTTCCCATGACTATGCATCCCCAAATGGGGATGGGTCAAAACCTATTATTACCATATTTGGGGGAATAAACATAAATCTCCATCAACCAGCAATTTTAGGCTACCTAGGGTAGCAGGGTTTTGACCCATATCCAAATCAAACTTAACAATGTGACAAGTGACTTGTATCAATCCACGTCTACCCAAAAGTCTCACTCTGAATCCCATGATGCACACCGCCATGATCCTTAAATAATCCTACCGTTAGCACGACATGGCGTTGCCATGCTTAGTTCATGGCAGTAGTAGTGGAAAACACTACATTTAACACACGCTTACTTGGTTTATGTATTGTGTCTTACCATCCCCCTCTTATGTACCACCATATGCACCATTTGTAAAAGGGTCCTCAAAACGATGAAGGCTATATCACCATCAAAACAGTACAAGATAGCTCCCAAAAGAATAGCTGGTGAATAACTCACAACATTCAAATGGGAATTCTGGTGGGTATGTTTTAAACCAACACAATCACCCTTGGAATCCACCTATGAGTGTGACCATTAACGATGGGGCTGTTGTTTCTATGGCCATGGGATTATTTTCAATATTCATTAAGCGTAATATTTCTTTTTCAACATGATAAAAATATCATACAAATACATAGATATACATAAATATATATATATACATACATACATACTCATTATATTTATATTTATGGGATCCCATTATCTATTGATATGTTGAGCTCAGTATATTTTCTGTTGTGATCCCTGGATCCCATGGGCACCGGGGGGGCACCATGGGCACCGTGCCTGGCACTGGGTCTTTTCGAGACCTGGCGGCACGCGGAAAGAATGGTCGGTCATGCGGCACGCGGCTCGCCTTATAAAAACCCTTGGTAAATGACAAAATATATGCCAAAAACGTACCTGTTTCTGTAACATAGGTCAATGATTCTCTTATTTGAGCTTATTTCTGATTATGATGTGGTCAAAACAAAATGGGACAGTGGGACACTATCTGATCGCCTTTTCACAGCAAAAATGTGGTCCCATTGGTCCCATTGGTATCGACCCTGGACCGGTCCATGTTGGGATGCCATGGAGGTCGGTTCATCGCTCCCTGGCTATGGACTGATTGGTAGCTGGATCAGATAGGCTTGGATTAGATCAGACGAAATTTAGATCCCATTTTGATCAGATTTAGTTTAGAGTTAAATAGATTTCGGTTTAGATTTATCTTTAGATTAAATTAAATTGGATTTAAATTAATTTAGATTAGATTAGATGGTACTTATATAGACTACTAGTAGATTGATGGATTTATAATGTGTTTATCCCGAGAGAGGAAGAGAGAGAGAGAGAGACAGATATGTGTATATATACATTATAAACATACGTAAAAATCGTAGTGAATAGATACATAGATAAATGAATAGATAGATAAACCTAGAGCTCAACAACAGAGGTCGTTAAAGAGATGGATCATTCCAAAACAAATTCAATTTAACTGTCAATAGGCCAACCACGTACGGTTCATATGTGATAAATTTTGCTAAGAGCAAAACATGCACAAAACCCACAGTTCTACAACATTGCAATTGTCCACCAAGATGGTTTGTCCAAGAATGGGGTATACCCAATTATGGTCATTTACACAGAGAAAAATTGTGATGATAAACCATGGGATTTTCAAACCAGATGGCTTTCATCATCCCACAGTTTTCCACCCTGGCTGATCCTGGGAATCCCTACCGTACCGGAGGTTCACTGGGTTCAAATGGTCCAGGCAGCAAAGGATATGGGAAAAACTCCTGCGGATGTTTGAGTCACCCAAGAAGGTCACTGCTTCGAGATATCTACCATAAAGCAAACAGTTATATTTGCTATGAAATTATAAAGCAACCTTAGTTAAGTATAGATCTGGATAAATGATAATACTTCATTAACCTGAATGAGAATGCTATTTTGGGGAAGATTACCCCAATCCATTCACCATCATTTCACTGACATCACGATGTGAACTCGTGATGAAATTCATCCAGACTATACCCCTTTTTGATGGTTATATCAGCAATTCATCCAAAATCATCCAGATTATATCCCCATTTCTGGGATAGTTACCCCAATCCTAACCAACCTTAGCTATCTATATCGTTATCATCCAGTAGTATATCAGCCCGGCGGTTCCCATTTATATAAATAAAAAATGTCAAATAATGTTTGTAGATATTTGTTGGTTGTATACCCCATCAAATCCCCAATCCCAGTCACTTTGGATCTACTTGGGACTTGGGAGTGCAATTCCACTAAGTGATTACGTAACCATAGTATACCATAGTGAAGGTAAAGGGATTTTATCCCGAACAATCCAACTTATTACCCATAAAGCTACTCCCAACTGCGCCAAAATACAGATCGGTTCAGCTCTGGTTCCTTGATGGGCTGTCGTTCGCCACCCAAGTCCTCCTCCAGCTGCCTTGGGACGGACGGGTTTCTTGCAATTCCGAGGCATATATATATATACAATATATATATATATATCGTGTATATATTTATATATTTATTTATTGATTGATTGATTGATTGATTTATTTGTTTATTTGTTGTGTGTATATGTATATATACGGTATGTATATATAAATACTGTCTACATATATATATATATTATATACAATAAATAAAAGATATATATATATATATTGCATATATAAATATTGTATGTATATATATATATATGTATATTGAGTATATGTATATATATATATATTGTAAATATATTGTATATACATTGTATATATATCGCATATATATACAAAAATATTGTATATATGTATTGTATATATATACTTATTGTATATATATATATATTTTTAAATTGTATATATTGTAAATTTATATATATATATAGATATAGATATAGATATAGATCTAGATTGTATATGTATATATATATTTATAGATTGTACAAATTTAAAGCAATATTTTTTACGTGCATGTATCTATTTTCTGCTGATATAGTACCAGTAGTGCCCGGCTGCGCCGGGTGGGATTGTCGAAACAAAAAACAATGAAAGACTGAGGTGAAGCGCACCAACGCCGTTGACATGACATGAAATCAATGACATGAAAGAATCAATGCACGAATGGCTGACTGAGTGAGTGAGTGAGTGAGTGAGTGAGCGAGTGAGTGAGTGAGTGGGAGGGTGGGTGGGTGGGTGGGTGAGTGAGTGAGTGAGCGAGTGAGCGAGTGAGCGATGAGTGAGGGACTGACTGACTGACTGGCTGGCTGACTGACTGATCAAGGACTCAGGGACTCAGTGGACTCAGCGACTCAGGGATTCATGGACTGAGGGCATGAAAATGTAAATGAAAAGGAAGATTAAAATTACATGAAAATCAAAATGAAAATGATATGAAATGAGCTTTAAAAAAAATGATGACTGAATGGACGAATGAATGAATGAACCAATGAAAAATCTGTGAACGAGCGAACGAGTGAACGAGTGAACGACCGAATCAATGATTGAACGAACCAATCAACGAATTAATGAACCAATCAATGAATCAATGGATTCGGGAATCAATGAACGAGCCAATGAATGGAGTGAATCAAGGGAGAAAGGAACGAATGAACGACTGAATGAGTTTCTTCTTCTTCTTTGAGCTACCAATTCGCTGAGCCAAGTCTTCTCTAAGCCGCCTCTTCACGGAGGTACCTCTTCACAGCTATTTCTTCTCTGACCCGCTCCTGCTCCTACCACCCTCTCTCAGCTACATCTTCTCTCAGTTAATTACTTCCTCGGTAGCTTCTGTAACCCAATTCGTCTTCATGCAGCCATTACAATGCGTTTTGCACCCTCCAGCTGCAACAGCGAAAAGCACAAGAGAGACACTATGCTCAAAAACTTCCCTTCCTGCAGCTGTTACAATACGTTTAGCCACCTCCAGCTGCAATCCCTCATGGCAGGAGCATAGCAGGAGCGCCACACCAACTCAACCAACGTGCGCACAGCACTGACAATGGGGGGCGATTCTGCGCCCGGTCCTCAAATTTTGAACCTGCTTTCGTGAAATCGAGCTCTCGCTACAGTCTCGTGCGCTTTTCTGCGACAGCTTTTCCAGATCGAGGCCCACACCCGCAGAAACACAACCCCCCCTTGGCGACCCTGGAGCCAGGTTTCACCCGCAAATTCACACGCCCGGGACTGTTACTGTGATCTATACTGTTTCACTTCCCAACTACTTGATGATGTGGTTGACATGATGGTGTGCAGACTATAACCATGACCATTCGTCCGTCACTCGAAAGTTTGCGAACTAAAGTTTCTTTGATTATAAAATTACATGAATCGTAATAGCTGCAATTCAAATTGAAATTCACTGTGCCCCAAACTAATTCTAAGACTTCATCACTATGTATATGTGGACAACTTCGAGGCAAAGGGAATCAGGCCCAACTTAAATTTACCACATTTCTACCATATGTGCCATATGTGGGTTTATGCACACCCCCTTATGGGGTTATGGCACTGGTGTTACTATATTGAACCTAGTAGAACGATACCTGGTACAGCAACATCTGGAAGAATTAAACACCTTTAACAAAATGTTGAATGTCATGTGGTGAAACTAAGACTAATAGACGCACTGTTAGTAGAAGAAAGAAAGGAATCTCCAAAGTAGTTTCAGTGAACCAATCAGAAATGGTACGATGAGGATAATCGATCCTGGGTTGATACAGTAAATCCAACAATGAACCATACTTACTACTGACAGCCGATTGCACCGTGATTTTATGGTGGAACCTATGTTTGTTGCTGAAAATTCAATTCTTGGATCCTCAGAACCCAGCTTTTTCTTGATGAGCATGGTTTTTGTTGGTGAGAATAGCATTGTTTCGATGTTTTTCTGGTGTATACTCCAGTTCTGTTGGTTCAAATTCCCGTGTTTTGGATGAACAGCTCGCTATTTCGGAGTGACGAGTTGGGCACCGTGCGCTGCGGCGATATCTCGAGTGATGTCTTCCGGCCTCGCGGCTGGAGATGATGAGGATTGCGGATTTCACCATCATTGCAGATTTCACCATCATTGGGACAAAAAATGATAAACATACATGAAAATTGGATGAAAATTGGATGAAATTGGTATCTAATGCCAGCAACCATATTGATGGAGCTGGTGATTTTTGGTGATTTTTGGTGATTCTGGTGGATTTCCCAGATAACCTGGTGAGTTGCGCAGCAATGATTCGTGCTCTCTGATTTGCTTCGAATGAATCACATGGAATTGACCTGGAAGCCCAAACTGGTCTGGTTCAGGATTCGGCTATGCACCTGGTATTCTGGTTACACATCAAAATAACTATGGACAATCACCATTTTTAATGGGAAAATCAACTATAAATGGCCATTTTCAATAGCTATGTTACAAATTACCAGAGGGTAACAAAAACGGATCTTGATCCCGATATTCACAGTGAAAATCCTTCGGTGCCATGACCTCCATGCGCGTTTTCTTGGCCATGTGTGCTGAATCTCAACGTTTGATGATTACCCTCCAACAAATTTCTTACAGTTTGCGAACTGGAGGCCATTTAGCCATTTAGTGAAGATAGCATTTACACATGAAGATGATTTGCCTATGATTTACCCATAATTTACCTATGATTTTCCATTTCATGGTGATGTTTCCATCGCCAATTCCTCCATTTTGCAACGCTACCCGTCAAACCCTGTCCCGTCCTGCAAACGAAGACCAGCTTTTGTCGCTGGCGCTCCGTCAGGACCTGCAGGGATGTAAACAAATGCTGCAACAAATAGCTAAGGAAATCTAAGGAATACGAATGTGATTCATATTATCAAAATATATCAAAAATGTTCTACAATATATATATATATCCACAATCCCTATCAATAATTCATTAGCATTCATTAGCATTCATTAGCTAGGTATACTCAGAATCATCCGTTAGTATATAATGGATGGCGAATAACCCGTGAATGACCTGCTTTGGTTTTTCAAACTGCCACCCATTGGCCGCGGCCCCGTGGAGGAGATCCAGTTCGCTTGGGGTATACAGAGTCTCAAAAGAAGGTGTATGCCCAAATCACCTCTATGTGTAAAGAGTCATTCGAGTCATAAAGGTCCAGACAGAAGATCAAACGCCATACACAAGGCATTGGCTGGTTGGAGTTCATGGAGATGCCCGTAAATTCTCCGCAAAGCAGATCATTTTATCCCTGTACTAACCATCATATATGCCACATATACCGGACATACACCCCAAAATGCTTGACAGTGAATAGATCATAATGGATCTTCACAGTTTCGGAGATGAAATCAGCATGTTCTGGTTAGAGTCACCATCAACCATCTTGTCTGAATGATCTCCCCATGTCTTGCTGCTTAAATGGGTACTCAAGACTATCAGCCTGCAAATCATGAGTTGATCTTGATACTACAGTATATAATACCAGTCATATCCAGTCATTATCATACTCACTGAAATTGACTGAAAAATACATATATATATATATTCCATTTGGTATAAAGTATAAAATAGTTGGTATATTCCATACTTAAACTGGTAGACCCAGTCATTGTCCCCATCTCCGGGTCCAAGTGGTTGATGCCACCCAGGACCGCCTTCTTAGCGAGCGGCACCAAGGTACCAAGTATCCGCGGCCTGGGCGGCGCGCATCGCCGCGATGCCAAGGCGCGGGTCCAAAACGTGTCTTTAGGGCGGTGAAATCTTTAGGTCCAAGAATATGAAGTCCCATTGTCAAGTCAAATTTGGATGACCAAATAACAAATCACCATATATATCCATATATCATGTTTAGGTCTCTATCCAAATAATCATATCAAATCTGGAGATGCTGTGTGGCTTGCCTAGCTGCTGGATCCAATCCAAACACTGTAGTAATAATCCTTGACATGCCATGTAGGAACGGAAATCAAGTAAATGTGTTTGTGTTAGAAGCCTGTTAGAACCACCAATCAGCAATGAGAGAAAAATTAGACACAAAAACTGCCAACCACTATTAATTATAGGAATTCCAACTAGCTAATGATAGCTAATGATTATCTATCCGGAAGACAAGCTAGAGCCACAGGAAGCCTATCTCACAGCTCCATCAGTATCGACTCGAATCAATATATCTCTATGGAAGTAGCAAACCTACTATCTCTACTTGTTTTTTGGGGGTGGTGGTTGAGCCATTGTTTTTCCTAAAGACGTGTACACTACAGTAAATTGACATATGGAAAATCTATGAAATTCTACCATGAATGTGGAAAATCGTCGTAGAAAAATCCATAGATTGACCTTGACTGGTTGATGGTTTCTGACAAATATGAGTCAGTTAGGATCATCATCCCAGTTCTAGGGTCAAAAGTGTGTATATATATATACATATCAACGTTTGAACCCACAAGGTAGATATGATATAGGATCTATGCTGGAAACCGCCAGATGGCAGGTCTATGAGGTGTGTCAGCCACTGTACCATGGCTAATCTTGATTCCAACGGGAGCCCCTCACTGAGCTCCCGGGCATGTTGCAAATATAGAAGCGGAAAATCCGCCCTGGCTGAAAGCTGGGTGGCAGCCAGTGGGAAGAAACAAAGGGATTCGCATCTGTCTTCTGTTGATAGGGTAGAACTCCTCACCTCTTGAGATTGCTTGAGATTGTAGCTGGTGCAGTATCTACATGTGTTATTTTAAAGGAGATGATTGATTTTTTTTGCCAGCCACAACCTGCGCCCACCAACCAGAACCCGGCTCGCGCACCCACATAGTACATGCCCATGCTCCTGCGATCCGGCGGTCAAACGTGAAGGGAACGGGACGTTGGATAGGATTATGGACCAATAAATCAATTTTTATGGACAAATCTACTGTAAAAATCTGTAAAATGTAAATGTATCTGGTGTATCTGGTCAATGACTATGTGGGTTGCTCCGTTGACTATTTTGATTGCTCACATTTACATGTTTGGTCAGTGACCATGAGGGTTGTTTATATGACTAGTGTTTGGTCCGCAATATCTAGTAAAGCATCCCACTGTTTAGGGCATATCCCATTTCAAAGCCTTTTTATTGTTGGTTGAGCTTAATCCCACAAGAAGACCGCAGTTCCTGTGAACTTCCCGAAGCACTCCAATGGGAATCTGAGAAATGGTCAAGTCCTGCGGGACACCAGGGCGGGTAGTGTGGATTGTTTCATCTAAATGAGCCATGAAAGTCATCCCCTCGTCCCATTCTGATAATTCTGCTGGGAAATAGATGGACATAGGTATTCCTATGGTGGCTTATAATATCTTATAATTATCCGCAATGAAGCAGCAAGTTCTATGTCAACCCATCAGCAGGCGAATGTAGTAAGAATGGCATCGACCTATCCCCAAATCGGAAAAGCACATGATCGGAAGGATCGGCACCCCAGGCACAGACCATTCTGGATCCCATGCAGGCGGATACCGTCCCTTTGCTGCCAGCGTTCTGATGCGGACCATCCCATACCCATGAGTTGCTTGGTGCGACTTTGAGGGAAAATTCCTGGAAACCACATGTGAAGAAAAAAAACATATCTGATGGTTACAAAATGTTACAAACAAAGAACATTGAAGAACATTGTTTTCTACTAAGCTGTCCTACTGAAAGTCATGCCAGCGTGCCACGGTGCCCAGTGCCAAGCGATAGGCCTTCAGATCAATGACCACATTGATGCTTTCAATTTTCCCAGGGACCTCTCCATGGAAAACTTGCAACGCCGGGTCCCGTTTGGATCTTGCAAGTGGGGGGCCAAGGGAGTCACAGAAACACAGGTTGGTGACATGCTATGCATGTATATTATATATATATATATTATTATATTGCTATTATATATATATATATGTATATATATATGTACGTTTAGGTATACGTATACGTACATGATATATGTTGGGTAGCTACATGATTGGCATCGGCATTTTCTCAGGCTGACCATGTATTGTGCTCTCAGATACGATGGCCGATGATGAAACCTGATCGTCCATTGGGATTGTCCATCCAATTTTGCCCAAATTCAATAAGGAAAATGATTTTTCAACGATAATAGCAACAATAGTGATTCTTATATAATCATAATGACTACCGTCTGGTAGTTTTAACATAGCTATATAGAAAATCACCATTAAAACAATAGCTAATGTAAAATAATTTACAACGTTGTAAAGCAATGGTAAACCGCCCTTGGGGCCGCCGCTGCCATGTACGACAAGAAATACCTACAGCTGGAGCACGTCAGAAAATTCTGTCGCCGGGCAGAAGTATCAAGCCACGGTTGCAATGGTAACAAACTGCAATTTGTTTCACCTTAGAAATAATCTGAAAGAATGTCATTCATTATGATGAAAACAACATAAAACAACTATAGTAACACAATAACGATACTGTACTTATGATGAAAATCGCAGTCATAACTTGGGCCTCCTCCTGGCCAGCCTGAGGCTCCCGACTCCATGGAAAAGACAAGAACCTCAGCGGTCTGCTACCTCCAAGGATGGTTTCAAGGCTTTGGGTAGATCATAAGATATCAATTAATATTGCTGTTGTAAATGATCATCAACACCGGGTATGATGAAAAAATCTGGTATCCGTGTAGTCAGCAGACCACCTCATCTCTGGTAGTCATCATTGCAGACCACCTCAGCTTCCAACTCTGATGACCAGGTCGTACCTCCGCTCTCTGTGCCTCAAGCACTCCGAATCTTCGGAGTGGGAATGGTCACTGGTCACGGATTCCTCTGGTGCTAAACGTAGAATGATCCATAATGATCCATAAGAATCCATAAGAATCCATAATAATCCATAATAATCCATAATAATCCATAATAATCCATAATAATCCATAACATCTATTAACATCTATTAACATCTATTAATTAACAATCATCCCATTCCCTTACGAAGCCCTGGTTGCAATCTCCTGGCCGCCGCTACCGTGCCGCTGCATGCCCCCCCCGTCTTGGGGTCCAGGCCATGCGGCAGGAATTCGGGAAGCCCGAAACACCAACACTGGCCGAAGAGCCTGGCCGGCGCCGCCCTGAACAAAAAAAACCTTCGTTGGAGAAGATATTCTCCTGTCTATAGCTATCTATAGCGAAGTATATATATATATGTAATATTATGTAATATGTGTGTATATATACAATTATAGTTATATATATATATTGATATACGCACACACATACCATTTATCTCCCCAACCCAATGTTTAGCCAGATCAAATTACTGCCCTGGAACCTTCACATGGATCTAAGACGGATTGGTGTCTGAAAGAAATCGTACCATGCTAGACCTGGCAGTTATGGGGCATCCACCTCAACATGCAGATTAGAGGGAGAAAGCATCATTTCAGGTTGATATTTCCCTTTGTGAGAAAGTGACCATGTTTGGTGGTTAATGACCTCTACGGCAATCATATCAGTCTGCAACACCCTTCAGAGCGAAACAGTTTCAAAGACATCATGAAGCGCCAGCGCGACTTGGAGGCCCCGATCTTCCAAAGCTTTGCTGATATTGTTCAGGGAATCCCTTCCACCTGATATTGTTATATGATATACTAATATATACCATTAAATTCCTCTATACGAGGCCCCAAAATGAAGAGATAAAATAGATCAAGTAGAGCCGATACTGAAACAGATCTGGGCAGGTATTGAATATATAGGCAGAAGGGATTGGATCCATTCCCATCCTGGTGGGGTTGATGATCATTTCCTGGTGACCGTTTTCTTTTCGCCAAGGTGATTCGGTTCTTCCTCATGAAATGGATTTCTCCCTGAAGGATCTTACATTCTGGTAATATAACATAGCTGACATAACTATAGCAAATGGCCCATTCAGTGATATTCCATAATCTTCCATAGCTATGTTACAAAATGACCAGAGGCTAACCACTTTTCTCCCGTGCCTTGTCCCGAGCTGCGAAATACACCAGACCAAGTCTCAAATCCTGGGCGAAAGTGGAAAAAATGGCATGGCATCCCCATTTTTGATTGAATCCAGATGTCAATTTTGCTGAGTTTTATGTATATAACAACTTTGGTGGTACAACTGGTTTTATCAATATATCTAGTTTTATATAGCAACTGGTTGGTATATCAATATTTTGCTGAGTTTTTATCTCCATCTTCTATTGGTTGTACATTCCCACACTTTGGTGGTAAATTTCCCATTTGGAGGCAAACCTGCTTGTCATCACACCGGCCTCCGCCATGTTCACATCCGAAAGGGGCCTCCGAAGCATCAACGGCAACAAACAAAATCTGAAAACGGATGGTGAAAATTCAATGAAAATTCAATGAAGACAAATCTTCCCTTGCAAAACCATGATGAAATGCATGTAACCACCATTTCCCTGCTGAAATCCGCCATGATCATCCCAGGCGAATTCAGCCATGTGATGCTATGAAATCATGACTTTTTAAATAGGCTTAGTAGGCCGCCAGTAGGCCCAAAAAAAAATTGAAAAGTAAAAACAAACTCGGTCCCACTAAAGCAGTGATGATTTACGGCAACTGTTCTATCTTTTGGACCGAAGCTTCACCAATCACAGGCTGGGAAGTGGTTGGCTGCACCTAGTGAAGTAGGAGCTGCGCCACTCTGTGGTTGCCTGGCACTCAGACTATGCGAGAGGTTGGCAGAGTCTGGGTCCTAAATGATCAAAATTGGGGAATTTGAAGATCCAAGAAATGGGATCAACATATACCAAAATAATCCAAAATATTTATTGGGATAGAACCCGTACAAAAAGTCGGATAGTGAACAAATATGATATGAGATGATATTAGGGTAATTTCACCATGGGTTTACTAGCCCTTTGGCTCGATACGCCCTGCAGGATGTCGCGGCTACTCGTCAGAATGCGATCATTTTTTACCGCGTGTTATGGCTATGTGTTCCCCCACCTCCTACGGTTCCTACGCTTCTCCTGCAGTTTCTAGGTTGCCCAAAAATGGTATCCATTGGCCATGAGCATTTGAGAGCAACACCCAGCTTCCACCCCCCATTATCATTGGTTGTTTCTACAGTTTCTACCCTTTCTGCCATAGATGTCTGTGGTAAACCCTGAAATCTACCATGGAAACCCAAAAAAGATATGTACCTTGAATCGGCTCAGATGTTCCTCTTGAAAGTTTTCTCCAACGTGGGGTTTCAACTGAACATGGAATCGATGGCTTTCCCATGGCTATCTCCCAATATCATCTTCCAAATCCAATGAAAAATTGGTGGTTTCAATCACCACTTGGGGGGCCGGATGTGGACCTCCATCATCTTCAATGCCTTCTTAGGATCGCCATGGGAGTGACCTAGAGACCCAGGAACGGCCCAGGCCAAGAATTGGGGGGGAAGCACTGTGTCTTTGCTCGCACCTCAATATTTCACAAACCAGTGGTTTCCAACTGGAAACGAATGGAATCCCACCATCTTCCATAGGTGTTTCCATGTGTGATCCTTTCCTCCCTGGGCATGGGTCAAGTCATTGGGTGCCGTATCAGAGGGCAGATAAAAAAAATATCATCAAGGGCCACAGAGCTCATGAAAATTTACCCATGTCCATTCAAGGATAAGAACTTTAAACGAAACCCTCAAAACTTGAATTGGACCCTTTTGGGCGAAGATGACTTTCAAATCTTGCAAAAAACTAGCAAAAAAACGGTCAGAACCTAGCGGGATCTCAAGGGACGTTCAAGCCTTGCACTTTCCGCTGGTTCAACCCCGCAGTTTTGTTGGTAAAACAAGGAATGTAGGAAGATCTGTTGATGTTGGGGTCCAATTTCTTGGAGGATTATCATTAGTGGGATGGGATTTTGCTGGATTTCATCACAACCAACCTGAAACGATGGGTCATTTGGGAATGATTTTCGCCAACCCCATTCCCATAGTGATGTTGGTTTTCGGTTACAATGAGGTGGCGACATAATTCACTCAGAAACCTCCCTTTGTTTTTGATTCATCCCCGCTTTCAAAGTGGTCTCAACATCTATTATTGATCATTCACGTTAATTCAATCCTTAGTCCTGCTAGTTGAGATCATATTGAATCCGCTCTCTGTTGGTGAAAAACACATATCCCGGTGTCCGGTTGGTGAAATCACCATTTCCTCCGCTGGTTAAAATTCCGACGCGCTGGGGCCCTCCCCTGGGGGCCCTGACTCAAGTACCTTGTCGCTGAAGCCTCGGACGAAACCATCAGTCACCAGAAATGGCTGGTAGTTTTGCCATTCCCAGTCATGGGTGGTGATTTACCATTTGTTACCAGTCATTTGCTACCAAAAACAATGGATCAATGGGTGGTTTATGACATTGTTTTACCCACCTTTTTTTTTGGCTTAATATATGATGGTTGATCAAGATTCCTTTATCCGGGAACGGCCATTCTTCGCGAAACAAAATCGCGAATCTTTCGAGAACTCCATGTTTATCTTTCGTGGGACCCATGTTGAGCAACAACTCTTCTTATGAAGATTCATTCATCACCTGCCAAATCACGCCAAATTTTCACGGATAACTTCTTCATAGCCTTGTAAACGTGCAGCTAGCATCACAGAATCCCCTTCTCAGGACAGGTTGTTGCTGAATAAACAATGTTTTGCAAGGCTTACTGGGCCACTCCCTTCAAAATGCACTTTGACTTTCGCCCACTCTTTCGCAGAACTTTCGCAGAACTTTGGCGGAACTTTGGCAGAACTTTCGCGAAAATACCCCTATCCGCAGACCCCAGCCATCAGCAGGGGGCACATCAGAGGAAAAGCAAACACCGGGGGCCTTGGTGTTTGGCCCTCGCAAAGCCTTACTTTTGGAAGCTTGGCTGCTGCATTTGGAGCATGTTTCTTGAGACTTCAGAAAGCAACGTTAGGCAGCACCAGCGGCAATTGCAAAGATGTGCTTCAAGAGCATGGTATTTGGCTCACCTTCGGAAGCTTGGCTGTTACCTATGGAGCAGTACCATTCTCCTGCCGGACCCCGGGCGGCAGGAGGTGGTAGCCCTTAACAAGCTGTAATGTATACAATGATAATGATTCATAATATCCAACTTTCGCGACGCTTTCGCGAATAAAAAAATCTTTCGCGAACTCGAAAAAAGACTTTCGCGATGGTTTCCAACATAACACGCACGGCTTTCGCAATTAAAACTCCTTACAAGGACCTTTAGATCGACTGCCATATGTATCGAATATGTATTTGTTGTATTCCTGACTCCCCTGTAATCTCAATGACTTAAATCATGACTCCCACTCAATGACTTAAATAATGGCTCCCTAGCAGTTGTGACCCTGGATACGTATCCCTTTTTGCCATACTCAGTGAATTGTTCCATTGAAGTAGTTGTCACCTAATATCTCTTCGTCATTGCAGGATTTTTGACCCCAAACCAAGTTTGACATAGTATTGGATGTGAAACTCATCTATCGATGGCTATCACTCATATATCCGCCGACCCCGCCTGCGGCTGGGGGAGCGCGTCAGAGAAGACATTACAAGCAGCAAGGGGCAAGATATGGAAGAAGAAACGCAAGAGCAAAAGGAAAAAGCAACACGCGAGCAAGCAAGAAGAAGAAGCAAGAGGCAAGAGAGAGAAAGAAACAGACGAAAGAAGAAACCTACTATATTTCTTGTTATTATTGTTAGTTCAGAAAGCAACGTTAGGCAGTACTGCCTGCCGGCAGCGGGGCCCATCCGTCCCTCACTGGCATGGTGTTTCAGTGTGGCGAGGGGGTCCGTTTTAGAAGCCTGGGCAGTCATGTTGGAGCTAATTTCTTCTGGGTTCAGAAAGCGATGTTAGGCACAACCAGCTGCAGGCCGCAGGCGCCATCCGTCCTTCACTGCCATGGTGTTTCAGTGTGGCGAGGGGATCCGTTTTGGAAGCCTGGGCAGTCATGTTGGAGCTAGCTTCTTGTGGATACAGAAAGCGACGTTAGTCACGACCAGCTGCAGGCCGCAGGCGCCATCAATCCTTCACTGCCATGGTGTTTCAGTGTGGCGAGGGGGTCCATTTTGGGAAGCCTGGGCAATCATGTTGGAGCTTCTTTCTTGTGGATTCAGAAAGCGACGTGGGGCACGAGCAGCTGCAGGCCGCAGGCGCCATCCGTCCTTCACTGCCATTGTGTTTCAGTGTGGCGATGGGGTCCGTTTTGGAAGCCTGGACAGTCATGTTGGAGCTAATTTCTTGTGAGTTCAGAAAGCGACGTTAGGCACGACCAGCTGCAGGCGGCAGGCCCCATCCCTCCTTCACTGGCATAGTGTTTCGGTGTGGTGAGGGTGTCGGCGGCAAGGCACCCCGTGTCATCAAAAATCCCTGCGTTTTACGGTGTTTTTTGCTGTTCCCATTTTTTCGCATTTTTCGGAGTTTGTGGCTGAAGATGGGTCAACATGGGCCAACATAGGCCGCAAGATGGGCCAACATAGCCCCAAGATGGGCCAACCTAGCCCTAAGATGGGTCCAAGATGGGCCAACATAGCCCCAAGATGGGCCAACATAGCCCTAAGAGAGGGGGCCAAATTGCCCTCAAGATAGGCCAACATAGCCCCAAGATGGGCCAAGATAGGCCAACATAGCCCCAAGACGGGCCCATCTAGCCCCAAGCCGTTCACAACAAACCACGAACCACAAACCAGAAACCCCAAACCACAAACCACAAACCACACAAACCAGAACAACAACAACACCGACAACCGCAACAACCACAACAACCACAACAACAACAACAACAAGAAGCACAACCACAACCACAACCACAACACGAACAACTCTATTTCCACCACCTCCACCCTCAAGGTAGGCCACCATAGCCCCAAGCTGGGCCAACAGCGCCCCCAAGCTGGGCCATAGCCTTGAGCTCTTGCTCCCTGCTCGACCCCTATCACCTCAACATGGGCCCCTGGCCGGCTGTCGCGCGTAAGCGCTTAAATATGTATATATATATATACATATATGTCAGTTATAGATCAGTGTCCTTCTTGCAAAATAGATGGGTCGACCACAGCATTGGCTGCAGAAATTACCATCCCCAAATTATATAATATAGACCCTGCCCAAAAGGAAATTGGAAGATTACTTTCCACTAAAAATTGGGTATCTTCATGGTCTATGTCAACTTACTGGAGGGTACTTTTGGTTGTTCAATTGGAGCAGTATTCCTTTTAAAAAGCAACAAGTGGACAAAGGACGTCTATTTTGCACCACTTACAAGTCGGATTGTCAGCCCTGGATTCCCAAGCAATCACTGCAGAATATGGCTGGAAAATCTCTCTGTTCTTGTTGTTGTTTTCTTTGTTTAAGCGAAAATAATCTCAAAACGCATGTCAATGAAGGAAGGTTTGCAAGTCTGTCCCAATGATGTTCTCCAAAGACCATATTCCATCCCAGGTGAAAAAAAAAAGATCTTGGAGGTACGGTGAGTGTAGAAAGGCCCTTTTGGTCAAGATTTGTGATAAAATGTGTCATAGCCATGACTCTCAAATGGCTTAAAATCTTTATCTATGTGGTCTTTTCCTTCAAATCTCCCTGAAACCAAGTTCTGCCAAAATGTGTCCAACGGAGAAATCTATCCCCAAAAAACGCCATGTTCTCCTGGTCGTGAACGGTGTGAACCATCCCCAAGTGTAAACTATTTGGATGGCTTATACCTAATATATATGTAATAAAATGTAACAAACTCCAATCAAAAATGGTTTATCATTGTTGGGTGTGACTTCGTTCATGTGAGAGCATACTCACATGACGCAGAAAACTACCAGTGTTTGCTCGCCTGAAATTTCATGCCATTCTGGGCTACCCAGTCACTTGACTCATAGCCATATATTGTAGCGTAAAGTAAATCGAAAATCTCCAATTCCAATGTCCAGATACACTTGTATACACAATTGAAGCATATTGGAGTTGCAAAAATCTATAGCACCCCCTAAGTAGATTTGAAAGTCTGAAGTCTGAACCTCAATTGTGAGGTCATCATCAAAAAATCCCAGTGTCAATTTTTCAGGTGAAGTTGTCTTTAATTCCGCAGCTCCACTCCCCTTTCCATCTCGTGCAGAAAACTCTCTCTTTTACATGTTCCTATGGCCAAAAAATCCACAGCCCACCCCCAATTTTCGAGACAAAGCAAGTTTAAAAGTTGATCATTTGTGGAGCATTCAAAAATTCAAAACCATAAATACCCGAAACAGAGGCTTGGCAACCATATTCCGATCTATTGTTTGGGCTTCCCACACTATCAACACTCCCTAAATCTGATTTGAAACCTTAAAAAAAAAGTTTGAAACATGATTTACCAAATTTGGATATGGCCTTCCATGTGAAATTCAAGGCTATAATTACAAGTTTGCCACCCATGTTGCTGCTTGACAGGTTCCGGGCTTCCATCTCTGGCCCCCAAAACCCTTTGCCAACTGGGCCACAGAGATGGAAACTGGTAGAGCAACACGCTGACAGCGAGCCTCCTCCTGTGGCGCAGAAGATGTGTAGGTGCTATAATACATGGGATATATATGTATATGTATAATAATGTACGAGTATGTACTCTCCTACTATGTATATATATATATTCATATATATATATACATGGAGTACTATAATGGCAATGATTGTATTGGTATGGCTATATATATATATATATGTATATATATGTATATATGTATATATGTATATATGTATATATGTATATATGTATATATGTATATATGTATATATGTATATATGTATATATGTATATATGTATATATGTATATGTATACACGTATGGATGTATATAGTCATTACATATATATATATATACATATTATATTATTATGTATACTTGTAAAAATATAGTCCATTTTTTAGTAGGTGTTACAAGGTGAGGCGCCTGAACGATAGCTAAGCTGATGCTATCGAAACTTGGTTAACGTTTGGGTTGATTAGGGTGATATAACTATAGTCTATAGTTAATTGGGTTTATAAACCAACTTTTTAACGGGGGGAGCCCACCTTGTACCGTCTAATCAGCAATGTTGTGTATTGAACCATCCAATGAAGAATGTCCACCATAGAGTTCAGTATTCAACCATCAAAAGCATCCAATGAGCAATGTTCACCATGATTTTCAGTAACGAGCCCAAAACAAGTGTCAATCATGTGGAGCACGTGCTGAAGGTGCCCATGTATGTGTGTGTGTGTGACATTACCTACATATATGACTATACAGTTATGACAATAAAATCACATATATATATGTATATATATAATTATTGTAGCAAGCCCCAGGATTGCTTGTTTTTTGCGGTACATCCATTGCTGCCATTTGCGCAATCACCATGCTGGCTAGAATCCCAAACAGCGAAATGTATGAAGATCACCGATCAATGTCCCACATATCGTGTGCGAACCAGGTCAAAATATCGGAGGATGTTCACTTCCGGTTGGTTGGTTACATCCTGACTTCTGGTAGGTGATGATATTCTCGTTTTGTGGCGGGTCAACGCCCTATCAAGTGATTATTTGGGTCAAGTTGGGACCTAGGTCCCTCCAGGTGTCTTGGTCCTTGGTCCATCTCCTCTTTGGATGTTTCAACTACCCTCAGGTGTCATCAAACGTGGGTGGATGGGAAATTTCGGAAATCCCCGAACTAGCCATGGAGGTTGATAGCTGGGAAAATCATCGAACTAAATGATGGAAATTTCCAGCTGGCCGAGTTTCATTACCGGAAGGTATGACCTGGGCAAGTAGATTCCGGTGTTTCAACTGGAATCTCTCTTTGGTGAAATCCCATTGACGAATCCGTCTGTTTTCACGTCTCCTGTAAGAGGCGTAGAGCCTGGCGATCAGCTGGGAAACAATGAAACAAACACTAGGATATAGTATGATATAGTCTTAGTTAATAAAAGAAGTTAGTTACTGTCATAGATAGGATGGTCTTTGAATTTGCCAACTTGGGATTCGGTGCTCCGAATGCCATCGACCCATCGACCCTTGGGGATGATTCAACCGGTAACCGCAGTGGAAATGGGCCATGATTTTGGTAAGATGGTTAGCGGTTAGCTAAAGCTGAAAACACCTCACCATCAAAAAAATGGATCATAGGCTATGAAATGATGTTCACAACCGTTACAACGGGCTATTTCAACAATTTCAGGGGGAGATCATCTTACCAAAGAACTGGATCTTTGACAGGGCACCAGAAAAGGCTCCCAAATTCAAAATGGAATCCACATGTGGCCATCAGAAATCATAAAATCGTCGAACCAAACTGAGACCTTATATTTTGTAGGTTCAGGAATCTTTCAATATTATATATATACACATCTATATATATACACACATATGTATATATATATACATATATATGCATATATGCATATACATATATATATGCATATATGCATATACATATATAAAGGGGTATGTATATATATATATATCCACAGTTCACTTTTCCTCGCACCTTTGACTAAGCTGCCCTGTCGTGGCAACTATGTTGCCAGAAACCTGGCCATATGGCCCTGAGTGGCATTTGGAAAATGGTGGTACAGCTGCAAGGCCACCAAAAGGAAAATGTCACTCCCAATCGGGTGGGTGGATTGAGGGCCGAAATCTTGCAGCCATGGTGCTCTCATGGTGAAAATTGGATAACAGGCATCCACAGTTCACTTTTCCTCGCACCTTTGACTAAGCTGCCCTGTCGTGGCAACTATGTTGCCAGAAACCTGGCCATATGGCCCTGAGTGGCATTTGGAAAATGGTGGTACAGCTGCAAGGCCACCAAAAGGAAAATGTCACTCCCAATCCATCCCTTCTATACTGCTTGCATTCACCGTAGAAACGGTAGAGCATTCACCGTAGAAACGGTAGAAAACTGAGAAAAGAAAAACTCATGCTTCGGCATCTGTTTACACTTCAGAGGCAGTAAACACAGCTGTCATCACAGTGCCAGTATGTGAACTCAGAAAAGCAATGTTGGCCTTGACTTCCGGACCCAGCTGGTGGAGAAACAGCTGAGCACCTACCTCTTGAATGTAATATTCCAGGGTACGCATCTTGGCCCATCGGCCGCGCCAGCAGATCTTTGACAGGTCCTCATCTTCAAGGTACAGATGAGTAGCGCCTGAGCCCCGCAAGGTGCCTGGCGTGGCCCCCCGTACACTTTGCTTGTGGGGGACACCTATGTGACTCAGGACTGCATTCCACTGTCGGCGAAACACCGCCATAGATGCGTTGAAGAGTTTCGATGTCATCGGCAAACTCCAAAAGACTTTTCTAGCCAGCCAGATCACTGAATCATCCAAAACCTTCACATGCTGTCTGCGAGCAAACCTAGCTGTCTTGGGGTTTTTGATGTAGATGTACATTGCAGCTCGCTGCTCCAAAGTGTCCTTTGGAAAAATCAAATCAGAGCGCATCAAATTGACAAACTCATTGGGATGGAGCATGCCAGAGAATCCCAATGCCACTAACGCAGCAAAACTGCGCCACCCCCAGAGCAAGGACAAACTAATGATGGCCCGGATAAGTGGAGCTGACAACACTGCCCTACATTGACCCGGCTCTTCAATCTGCCATTTGCGGTCCACTTGCCATGCACCAGCCAGAAAATTGCGGAACTGTGGCCGCAAATGTTGAACAGCTGTAATAGCATAAACCAGCCAGTACCTGGGTTTTCCAGCAGCAAAACACTCCTTCCCATAGGCTCGCAAGGCTGCATCCACCGCCTCAGCGGTCATCAGCACAGCTTCCAAAGAGGTCTGCGCACGCGTCTGCAACCATGAGCTGAACTCCTGCAAACATTTTTGCATCCTATCCAGGGTCGCCGGTGAAAAACCGACATCAAAGTCCAGCTCACCTCTAGGAATGTAGCTTTTTGCTGGTCCAGGGTTCTCCTCAATGTCACCGCAAAGCAACAACAGCAAGCGGACCCAGCGGCCCAGAGGATTCCTCCAGCATGCGCTCTTGATGATGACATCAAAGCGTTTGACTTGCCCTTTCTGAAGGTCGGTCAACCAGAGAGGCATCTCCCGCGTAGGCCCAGGCACTTCCGAATCACGAGAAGGACCATCAGCGCGGTTCCAGCTAGATCTGCAGTGCAAAGTGCCTGGGTAAAGGCAACCACCCAAAACGTAGCCCAAGGAGCTACGCAGGATTCTGCTCAAAGCTCGAGAACTGCTTCTGCCCTTTGCCGCAGCGCCCATGGTGACCCTGCTATCCAGGATTCCAAGCACCCGCGAGCAGGGGTGGCTCTTCGCACAAAACTTCAACCAAGACTTATAAACCCTGCATTCAAGAGTATTAATGTGCCCTGATTTTTTAAAACGATACCGAAACATCTCAGTGAACTTTGATCCATTACACAACTCATTTACCCAGTCCGGATCCTCGTGCCATGCTCTGCGTGTCTCCGGCTCCACTGTGTGCTGCGCAGTGTTGGTCGTAGGTGCACCATGATCTCTCGCCAGTTTGCTGCCGCGTGCCATGCGCTGCACCAAAGACCAAGGATACATAGCTGAATAAGCACTGACTGCTTCCCCAGGGACGGGCGCACGACCATAAACCTCTGCAGCACTTGGAGAGCACCTCTGATCAAAAAGCTCAATGGACTGGCGTGTGAAGGAGCCCTCGATGACAAAATGGCAGCCCTTGTAGCGGCATTGGCACGTAGACTCCAAAGGCAGGAGCCAGGGTTTGTTGTGTAGCCACTTCGAAGGCTTGTTAAAGCCACTGCCAAAACTGCAAAAAGGAAAACGTGTAAGCCAGCAACCCAGTGAAAGCAGAACTTGGAAACAATGCAACTCAAACATGACAGAGGCCCCTGGTTGTTCAGCAGAAATGTAGGAGCCACTCAGGAGCGCTAAAGTCAAAATGAAAGCCGTACGCATTGCTAAAATGGTCTGCTCATAGGTCACCGGGTCAGAAGGATTGAAGCCAGCTGGAAACATCTTGCTCCGCAATCTCGGGCGCCGTAAAGTGCCAAATGACCAGCACGGCGGCCCAGCGTGCCACTCCTTCACCTTTCCAGATGCAGCTAAAGCAGCCGTCTTCCGAAAGGTGACTGGGTCCATCAAATCACCAAAGCTCACACCAGTAGCACCACGCTCAATGCCAGGATGCACTCGAAAACCTTCAGCAGCATGTGCCTTACTCCAGTTACCGGAGCCAGAGAACAGCTCAATGCAGTCGAAGGTCACATCTTCGACACCGGGCCACAGAGGTGCCGGTGAGAGACTCACAGCAAAGTCCACAGTCTGCTCGCTGGGAGGACCAAAGGTTTCCTCATGGTCCAGGCCCTTTTCATGCAGCACTTCACGCGCTCCATGTTGAAGCGCGGTATAGTAACCTCTCTGCTCTGTATGACGCCACATCTCTTCGGCAGCAAAAGCGCCCACACGTGTTCTGCAGAGCGCGCCACCAAAAGGACTAGCATCCATCATGAAAACATCCTCAGTGACTGACACCCGAAGATCCGCTTGAATCAGAGGACCAAGCAGTAACAGCGCAAGCAGCTCATTCACCGCCATCGCGCTCAGGTAAAAAGGTTGGTGAATTGGCAAGCCGACCCCCTCATGAAAAACTTGTTCCAGCACTGCAAAAGTAGGACGCCTGAATAAACATACATGAATCCAACATCCCAACAAACATTGCAGTATTTTCCTGGTTGCACAACGCTTGATCACAACGAAACTGGTGAGTAGCATGAGGAGTGCAACCCTGTTTCGTGGAGCCGAACATCTGCCAGCAATACCATCAATTTCAGCACCAAGGACTGTGGCAGAGAAAACGCGACGCTGCTTCTTGCCAGGGTGGGCTACCAAACCCACTGTGTTATACGCCAACTCAGCCCTAGCAAACACTTCCAAATCCCGGTCATTTTTGGCAGGATCCCACCTTGGAGTACATGACAGCTTGTGAAGACCTATATGATCATCTATAGTCAGAAGTTCATAAAAGGGACCACGAGGAATGGGATGTCTATATTGTAAAATCTCATCCGGCCTCATACTGTCAGCTATTGTACGCAGTAGGTTAAAGTGTGATTGCTGTGCTATCTCCACTGCAAGGCTGTCACCCATCGCAAGTGTACGCAAGCAAATGTAAACAGACTGGTCTGCATACTGAGGGTCATAGCATGAAAAACCTTCAAACTCTTTTCCCAGAAAAACAGTGCCAATCGCATTCCTTGCAGCTCTTTGGGGGGAAACACGGAAAGTATAGTAAAACTCACAAAGGTCATCAGAGGAAATTGCAAGACACTCATCCGCATGCAGCCGTATCAAGCCAATAAGATGCCCAGGAGCCAAAGTCTTTGTATACGTATTGCAACCATACATCCGAGAGTTTACCACTGTAGGATTGACGATAAGCCGGTCATACTCACTGTCTTTGTTAACAGCAAATAACCCTACTGCTTCATCTTCAGGTACACAATGCACAGGAATAAGTGCGCAGGCGCCCAGCTTGTCCCACTTTTCCGCCAGCTTCTTCAGTTCAGCTCGGTCGCAATGCACTCGCGCTCTCCGCCTTGCTGGCCAGTCAGTTGCAGGTTTACGCAAAACATCAGGGTCTTTGAAAGCAGCTTGAACAACAGGGTCAACCAAAAAAGGCTCAGGGTTGAAAGTGGGTCCTAGCTTCCATTTGATGCGCTCCGCAATGACTGGCTTGGCTGGAGAAACACTCAGCGGAACATCTACACCAAGCTGACGGTTTTGATCTGGAACTGGTTCACCAGAAACATCATGGTGAGTTTGCTGGTCAGGGGCAGCTGCCGTACTGCTGTATGGATCAAAATCCCGGTGAATCAAATCTAAAAAACTTGCCATCTCATCCCAACTGATGTCTGGAACAGTGGAAGGGAGTTGAATTACTGCATCACAAATTTTGCTCAGCTTTTCCCCTGCCCGGCCTAGCTCAGCCGCAGCTACGGGTTCTGCAAGAAGAAAATAGCCCACCAGGCTCTCCAGACGCTCAATCATGGCATGCTGCTGATCACTGATTTTGGCACCCAACTCGCACACAGTTGAGGGGTATTTTGGATACCCCAAACTAAGCCAATTGAGAACAATGATGACAACTTGCAACAACTTCGCCCTGGTCTCTAAAAACTTCCTTCTCTTGCGACGCCGGGGGGAGAGCTTAGCTGGGCCCGTCCATCGCCACAGTGGTGGGGGACAGGGCCATAAATCGGCAGAATTACAACTGCCGCAAACATGGCGAGAAACTGATGACTTCCTGCGAAAAAGACTTCGGCGCAGGAACTCACCTAAGCCAGAATGGCTCTGGCCAACTAACTGCAAGACCACCCGCATGATCTCAATGCACTGAATTGTTGCAGGCACTTCAAAGTCAGACAGCAACTTCGTACTGCCCGAATGCATCCCACAAAGGTCATCATGGGACAACAACTCTGGGTGCACTGCCTCAGACTTCAGCTCGGAGCTGTAGTGGCCTCTTCGCCGGCTGGGCTGGGAGACCCCTTTCCTTTTCCCTTGCCTTTCCTTTTTGGCCTCGGTGTCACCTCGGTCTTTTCGTCCCCCTGAGGAGTAGCTTTGGTTGGCTTTCCAGCTGCTTGGATCCGCCCTTCCAAAAAGTCCAGATCCTTCAGGTAAGACACATTGGCTGCCACTGCAGTCGCTGATGTCAGTTTGGAGAAAGGTTGCAACTGAGCTCTCTGCTTGTTCCTCTGGCAGACTTGATAGTTTGGCTCCGGCAGGCCTGTCAAAAGCCATGCTAATTGAGTACGGCCTGCATCTATCGACGCCTGATCCACAAACGTCATGCCCTTCATTGCAAAGCCCTGCAGCTCCCGATTTCCAGATCGCGCTCCCACCTCGTAAGCATGGCACATCAGATACCCCATCATGGTAAGCAGCCGATGATCGCCCAGAGGTATGCGCCTTTCCATGTAATCCTGGAGGAGGCCTGGTGTTAACCCGGCTGGCGCTTGGAGACCAAGGTCGGTCAGAATCTGCTGCTCCCCCACACTGGCCAGTCGAGGAAGATCTTGGCTCATCTTCAGAAAAGCATCCCGCGCCAGACAGCCGCGGACTCCTGAACTTGAACTGCCGCTTGCATCGGAGCCCCCCAGAGCTTTCTGAATTGGGTCCAGGTTCTTGGCTGTGAGATGCTTTGACAGCATGCTCAGCTGCTGCGTCTGTAGTACCAGAAGGCGCTGCATAGGATCCTGCACCTCTTCCAGCGTGGTAGCCAGAGCTTCGTGCAGCTCGTCCTCCTCTGTAGCCCCCAGCATCTCCTCCTGCAGAGCATTGTCGAACGCCACCTCCGGCCGTTCTGCGCGAGCAGTACGTTCGTGAGCGCCAAGACGGCCTGGCCCAGAACCTGCCAAAGCTCGCAATCTTTGAAGCACCTGAGCATCCGCTGGTTGAGACGGAGAAGAAAGCAGCTGCAAACCACCAGCCTTTGGAGTAGCATGGAGAGCGGCACTGCCTTGGAGTGTCCCCAGGCGAGTCTCTAGCTCGAGGATACGCTGCTGCATTTGAAGCACAGCATCCTGCTCCACGGTTCCACCGTGCGGCGGAGCGGCCGAATCTGGAGGTTCTGCAAAACCCTCTAAGCCGCTGTCGCCGGTCACATAGTCTCCAGCGGTGTCGTCGTCCATGGCATCGTGGATCCAAGCATCTGCGGCCGCCATCACCGCCTCCGCGGATGGTCTGCCCGCGCTTTGCCCCACATAGAAGCGATGCACAGTTTCTACTTCGTCGCCACGAAGGGGCGACCATCGGGTGAAAGAAGAAACTTGATCCCAAGTTGCATCCACCAACACTGCATTCTCTTCTGAGGTGCGTTTGCCACGAGGAAGCTCCACGGTGATGGTGCAAGTCCTGCATCCAAACACATCTTCCTGAGCAGTGACAAAGTCGGTCACCTCTGGAACGTCGGGCACCAAAAACATGAAGCCGCCAGACCGACATTTCACCAAATAAGCCACAGAATTGAACAAAACTGTGTCCCCCTCAACTGGGCAGAAGAGGACTGGGGCTAATGCTGAATAGCCAGCCGCTGATACCCCAAGCAGCGACCGCACTCCCTTCTCACTCAAACGCTTGCCTGGTACTCCGGCGGCCATGAGCAACCGGCGCCCAGAACGTAAGCAGAAGCTTCAGCACGGCTAGCAAAGGCGTGCGACACACTGTCACGATGGAACCTCTCGCCAGCACTGCCCCGCACCTTGGAGACGTAGATGTTGTAGGATGTAGT